GTTATAAAGGCTGGTTGGGTGGTTGGAGGAGGTCGTTGGACACTGGTGGGGAGAAGTCGGCTCTCTGGTGGGGGTCGCACAGGAATGATGTATGTGTGAAAAGCATGATTAACAGTATTGTAAATCATGGTATCTCAATAAAATTAGTAATTTAAAAAATTTGGTGGAGGGGAAAGGGTGGATATACAAATATAAATTAAACAAGACTGCTGAGTCAATAATTGTTAAATGTAGTAAGTGTCATAATAATGGCACTCTATTTCAGTATCCTTAATGCCTTTAGAAATGTTTGCAATACCCCAAACAGATGTCTTCCATTTGCATTTCCTCTACTTATGATTCAGTACAGTGGGATTCAGTAAGAAGTCCCTCAGTGGCTTCTCTTCACTGTGAGACTAAAAGTACTATGTGAACTCCTCCAGCCTCACCTTCACCCTCTGAGCTGCCAAGTTAGGAAACTAGGTCTTTACAGTTTCTTTAACATCACTTTCTTTCCTCTTCATATCACGTTTGCTGTTCTCTCCACCTATTTGTCATACTAAATCCTTGCTCTCATCATTTTAATATTCACTATTTTTTCTTAAGGAGTTCAACCTGGTATTTCCACCTCTTCTCTCCAGACCCTACACACACACACACACACACACACACACACACACACACACACACACACCTGTGAGGTCATCCTATAAGCACAAATCCTCCAGTCCTCTTTGCTGCTAAAATGAAACATTATCTGATGTTTTAGCAAGCACTACTTATAAACCTTCATTATCAAGGCAGACTGCAACTGTGTCTGAGAAAGAAGTCCATGCTCAATAGAGTATGTGTTACTGAATTAAGTGAAGATGCAGAGAAAAGGAGAAATACTGCTCCACTAACTAAATGACTTCTTAATATCTCATGTCATTTTACACAGCAAACTCAATGGGCCCCTCAAGTTTCCAAGTCCTCAGTCCCACTCCCTTTTACTTTCCTATGTGCAAAGATTGTCTTCCAAAAGAGAAGTTCAAGGGATTCCAGAACAACTAAAAGGCAGATCACACAAATGGTGCTGCTCAGGGCTCACAGCACCCCTACCATCACAGCATGAGCAGGTAGGCAAGCAGAGGACATATCAGGAGAAAAAGTAGTGTGAAAAACATAAAATTTATCAATGATTTCCTGACCTCTCAATCAGGAAAACCTATATCCAGGCAGATCACCTTAGGGCTGCAGACTTGAAAGTGTCCAGTGGGTGGTAGCAGATTGCTACTAGACATCCAGTCTCTGAGGACCCAGAGAGAATAGAGTTGGACAGAGGGCCCAGCACTTCAAGGACTGTTTTTATTTTTTGTTTGTGTGTATGTGAGTGTGTGTGTGTTCTATGTTTTTTTTTTGTTTGCTTGGTTGTTTTTTTGCATAAGGGACCATGCATTCAACCTGGAGCTCCTGGTGTGAGAGAGAGAGTGTGTGTGTGTGTGTGTGTGTGTGTGTGTGTGTGTGTGTGTGTGTGTGTGTTGTATGTTTTTTTTTGTTTGCTTGGTTGCTTTTTGCATAAGGGATCATGCATTCAACTTGGGATTCCTGAATATAAAGCATATGATCCAGTATTTTGAGCCATTAACCTGACTTTCAAATATATACACTTTCTGAAGAAGTAAATTATTATGAAATTTGAAAAGCACTTTAAAGCTTAAAGAAAATAAAATTACATAGTTTTAGATCCAGATCTCTAAACCTCAGCATTACTCACATTTTTTTAACTTGATACTTTTTTGTTATGGACTGACCTGTAAAGTTATCAGGTGGTTAGCAGTAATCCTTCCATTCTATAACTGAAGTGTTTACAATTTCAGAACCATAGCCTTGTCCAAAAACAGAACCACTAACAATGTTCTTACTTGTCTTTCTTCTGGTCTTTTGACTTCACATAGGTACATATTATATTTTCTCAAATGAAACTAAATATATATACACCATCTGCATTCTGTTTTTCAACTGATCAATAATAGATATTTCTCCAAATCATATTTTCTTCAAAAGAATATATTTTAACAAGAGCACTGGTATCACTGGTTCAACAGGTGGTCAGAGGAACACATTATTTACCCATCCCCTATTTTAGAAACATCTAGTCAATGTTGTAGTAAATAATGCTTGCACAAACAATCTCATGAATATTTCAGAACTCTTGAATATAACCCAAGAGAAGACTCGGAGGAAAAGGTTGATGGCACACATGATCAAATCGCATCTGAGAAAGGTGCTTCACTATTTATTTTGTTGTAAATAAGCTGAGCAACAACTTCATAGTACTTGCAAGGTAGAGGCAGAGAGAGTTATCTTCTTTATATTCAGGACGGAAGAAAAATATCTGGAGATCAGGTTTGTTTTATTCTCAATACTCTTCCTAATGACTCCCAGGCAAGCACCAGCTTTTAGACATATGAAATCAGAGCAGAATTTAGGCTATTTTCTTTGGAAAGTCCAGTGGCTAATAAGTTTCATTTCAAATAGAGGCTATTTTTAGTTATCTGTGGGAATACATAGACACACACAATGCCACAGCTGAGATGTGTGCCAGTACAGGGCCTGAAGAGGTAGCATTCATATCCTGACTGGACCTACATCTCTGCTGCTCAAGGTGTTGGTCCCTTAACTCATCTCAAGCTGATTAAAAACAAAAAACTTCAGACCCCTCCTTGGACCTCTTGAATACAAATCACTTATTAACAAGAAGCACAGATGATTCATCCACTGTCCACTGTCCACTGTCCTCCCATTGTTCATCAGTTTGCTCGAGTAGGCCCAGTAATGTCTCCATTCTGAGACTTGTTGTTATTGTTTTTGGCATATAGAATACGTCACGGGTAGCTTGCCAGGCTTTGCCGTGAGGGCGATATACTCTCAGTAGCTTGCTGGGCTCTCTGAGAGGGGTGGAGGAATCAAACCTGGGTCAGCCCAGTCTGCGCAATGCAAGGCAAATGCCTTACCCGCTGTGCTATCGCTCCAGCCCATGGATGACTCATAAATCCATCAAATGTAATAAGTCTGATGCCAACAGAAATCCGAATTATTTTCCAATGTTTGCACTGAATATGAGCACAATGTTAAGGCTAAATACATTTGCAAAAATTACACTCTTGACAGCATGCAAGCTGAGTATTATGGTTTAGCCACTATAGTACAGATCACAAGGTATGTCAGCAACTGGAACCTAGTATCCATTGCTGTTAATAAAAAGCAACAACTGCTATTATCAGCATCAACTAAAGTATCACCCTCAGCATCATCCTGGGACCTAACTTCTAGATTCCTGGAAGAATTTTGGGGCTTCAGGAAGAAAATCTTGATAATTTATTAATAGATTAAATTAGACTGGTCTTCAGTTTTTTACAGTTTAATATGGTTCTTAAAACAACTGGTTGTCACTTGGTAATTGAGTCAATCTGCACAAGTCACTTCACACCACTTCAAGGTTTGTCTGTAACACAGGAATGATACATTTGCATAAGTGTCACCTGAGATGACAAGGCACTTGGGAATGTTAAAACATACCTCAGATAGACATAAAAAGATCGCATTCATCTGGGGGACATAAAGTAACAAAATAGGAGATTAATACCTAAGAATAGCCGAGATCAGTACCAGGAGGATTACTCCATAGCTTAGAGGCCAGCCGGGCATTCTAGGGGAAAGAGCAGCTCAGATAGAGAAGGGAGCACCAAATAAAGGGTGTTTGGAGGATACTCCCAGGATGGGAGATGCATGTTGAAAGTAGACTATGGACAGAACATGATTGGCACTCAATGCCTCTTTTGCAGACCACAACACCCTAAAGGAGAGAGAAAACAAAACGGAATGCCCTGCCACAGAGGCAGGGTGGGATGGGGGGGATGGGGGTGGGAGGGATACTGGGATCCATGGTGGTGGAAAATGAGCACTGGTGGAGGGATGGGTATTTGATCGTTCTATAATCGTAATCCAAGCACAAAAATTTGTAAGTCTACACCTGTACCTCATGGTGTTTCACTAATAAAAATATAAAAATAAAAAATACCTCAATTTCTTTCCATGTCTCTGCTATCTCTACACTTGATTATTAAATTTGGTTTAATATTTTACAAAATTCCATGTAGGATCAAGTCTAGGGATAGGAAATAAGGGAAACATAGGCAAAAAAAAAAGTGTGTCTGTGTGTGTGTGTGCACGCGTGCATGTGCATATGTGTGTGTGTGTGTGTGTGTGTGTGTGTGTGTATTTTCTCTTTATTGGGCTGAGTAAATTTTAAGATATTTTTCAACAGAGAAGTTCTGGGGATGTCTAAGCCACTTCTGATGATGTTTGGGCAACCAAGTTTGGCAGCACAGTGCTACTTTTGTGCTCAGCAGTGCCCAAGAATCAGTCTGGCTATATTTGGCAGTATTTAGGGAATCAATGCAGTGCCAGGCATTTTAAATTGGGGACTGAATATAACCAAGAGACTTTATTACAGTACAGTAGTAAAGTACTCATTCAGGTACTTAGAAGATTTCTTTTTTTAATAATTAAAAATAGTTATCATGTGTTTGAGATTAGATGAAAATGAGAGTCACACCTCTCTTTTTACGTTCATGCTCCACCATTCCTCAGTGAAATGGTAGGTTTCTCTGAAAAGAAAGGCCTCTTTGCCACTCATTTGTGGGAATTTTGTAAACTTATATAATATATTCTTAAAGTAACAGGAAATATGGACTTTATATATCAAGAATCCAAATGGCAAGATCTAACTTTCTGCCCTAACAATGAAAACACCATCACTTTGAACCAACTTGAAATCATCTTAAACTCTTAGTCTTACAACATAGACTATGATCGCCTGTTTCTCAAATTACAATGCATTGAAATAACCCAGATAAACTAGTAACTTTTAATTCAAGTCTACAGGCACCTGGACCCGGGTGTACCCACCTGTCTACGGACACCGCCCTAGCTATGCAAAAATGGCTATCCTTAACTCCCCTGATATGATCCCTTACCTGAGAATCAACGGTGGATTTTCGGACACTCATGTGGGCAGTCTCTGGAGGGTGTGCTGGGTTCCCTGATGCATGGTATCCATTCACTGCAGGGACAAAAACACTGCTCAGATGCTGTGCCAATGCCAGGCACCTGCAACCTCTTGCAATTACAGTTCCTTTTCCCAATTCAACGCCTAGTTCATAATCCTGTATAGTTAGGGCAATTCTATTATTTTGCAGAGCCTGAAATATGTTCAAAGCATTTTTTTAACTCCAAGCACCTAATTGTTGCACTCTTGGGTGTGGGAAGGGGTTGTCTGTGATCTTTTGAGACAGAGAAGAAAGAGATTATATTTAACAGAAGGTAAGGTCATGTTAATCTACCTGCTGCTCCAAAAAGGGTTGTCTAAGTGTCTAATCTTCCTATAGTCAGGTAATACTATCACCACCCTCAAGTACCCCAACTAACATCTCTGAGTAACATCTCCACTCTAACCCTTTTGTGATAAGGACTGAAGATTAGTGATGAGGAATGAGGATTAACTTTATTAGTTTCCATGAAATTTTGTTTTTGAGAAAAAAATGGCCAGGTGATCATATCTCAAGTCATTGTTTTTAAGATTAGAAAAAAACTGAAGATGAAAATTTCTAATCACAACAAGGCTAATGTGCCCAGATGTATTGATTAAACTTTCTCCCCGTGGATTAGTTTGTAATATTTGCCAATTGTTGTAGTATAAATACTCCCACTAGTGCTGATTTGAAAGCCCTATTTCTGTTCCCACTGCTGTGTGTTCCTGGTGTCACAGATACATGCTGGGGCACATTCACCTCCTGCAGGATATGATACTCTCATAGAGAGTTAGACAAGCTTATGAGCAACCTCAGCTTTATGTATCAGAATAATTTGATCCAGTCACAAACCGGTTTTCTAGTTTTTTGTTTTGTTGTGTTTTTTATAGTTTTAGAGGACATGCATAACTGTGATCAAGCCTTACTACTGGTTCTCCACTCAGGGATCACTCCTGGTGGTGCTCAATTGCCCTTATTGGTTATTAGAGATAGAAACCAGAATGGTTATGTGCAAGGCAAGCACCTTACTCAATACACAATCTCTCCAGTCCCCCCAACTTTTTTCTAGGTGTGAAAATCAAATGAGACAATATTTGTAAAAACAAAATTCTAGCTATAAATTACTTCATGAAAATAACAGGAAGGTATGAGAGAAAGTGGGGTATCATGAATTTTGTTGCTAAACTCATCTCCTTGAGCCCCAAAGTCTCAATTTCTGGATACCAGGAAAGAATGTCTCCTTTATGTCTCAGGTTTAGAAAAATTTCTACAACATTCATATTGGTACAGTATCAAACATTCTCATTGTCCTTCCCCTCCTCCAAGCTTCCCACTAAAGACAAGAAACTTTCTCAAAGAAGAAATTCGAATGGACAAAAGGCACATGAAACAATGCTCCTCATTACTAATCATCAGGGAGATGCAGATCAAAACAACAATGAGATGTCATCTCATGCCACAGAGATTGGGCACACATCCAAAAGAAAAAAAGCAACCAGTGTTGGCATGGATGTGAGGAGAAAGGGACTCTCCTTCACTGTTGGTGGGAATGCTGACTAGTCAAGCCTTTTTGGAAAACAATATGGATGTTTCTCAAAACTAGAAACTGAGCTCCCATTTAACACAGTCCACCTCTGGGACTGTTCCCTGGGGCCCTAAAAACACCATCTGCATTCCTATGTTCATTGCAGCACTATTAATCATAGCCAGAATCCGAAAACAACCTGAGTGCCTAAGTACAGATATATGGATAAAGAAACTATGGCACACCAACACAATGGAATACTATGCAGCTGTCAGAAAAAAATGAAGCCATGAAATCTGCCAAAAAATGGACATGGAGAGTACCATGCTGAGCGAAATGAGTCAGAAGGAAAGGGACAGATATAGAATGACTGTGTCCATTTGTGGTATATAAAAACATATATATATCCATATGTATATAAGATATACATCCATGGTCAGAGAAAAGAGGGATTAGGAAGACTGGTCAATGGTTGAAACTACCCACAAGTGTGCGGGAGGCTGAGGGTAGATACGATAGAGAGTGCTATGATAATAATAGCTGGTAATGATAATGCTGAACAAGAGCTGAGGGTTAAAAGTAGGTAAGGGATATTCTGGATAACCTTTCAGTATCAATATTGCAAATCACAGTGCTCAAAAGGGGAGAGAGAGAGAGAGAGAGAGAGAGAGAGAGAGAGAGAGAGAGAGAGAGAGAGAGAGAGAGAAAAGGAAAGCACCTGCCATAGAGACAGGCAGGGAAAGGGTGTGGAGGGTGATGAGAGGGAATCTGGGGACACTGGTGCTGGGAAATGTACCCTGTAGCGGGATGGGTGTTGGAATACTGTATGACTGAAATCCAGTTATGAACAGATTTGTAAAAAAATTTTTAAAAAAGGACCAGTTTTCAGTTTATGTTCACTTTGGACATTTGTAATTTCATTAGCATGATACTTTATACTTCATATATGAGAGAGATCATTCTATATCTGTCCTTCCTCTTCTAAGAACACTTAGCATGATATTCTCCATATTTATCTACGTAGCAGCAAATTGCATGATTTCATAGTTTCTTATAGTCAAGCAGTAGTCCAGTTCATTGTGTAGAGTTTCTTTGAGTCATCTCTTCTTGGACACTTTGGTTGTTTCCAGATTTTGAATATATGAATAGTGCGGCAATAAACATAGAGCAAAAACATCTTTTCTAAACAGAGTCACGGGATCTTTTGGAAAATGTAATCAATAGTCTCCTCACCCTTCTATAAAAAGCAAGGTTCAGATGGGTTTACTAATGAGTTCTTCCATAATTTTAAAGAAGACCTACTCCCACTTCTTTTTTGTGCTATTTCAGAAAGTTGAAGAAACCGAAATTCTCCCAGTTTCTGTGAGGCAATCATTACCTTGATATCAAAGTCAGACCAAGGCATCCCTATAAAATAAAACTATAATCTGTTGCAGGCAGGTAGATGGGGGTCCTGGGAATGCGTGTTGAGGAAAACAGCACCTGAAATATGAGCCAGTCTGAGGGAACAGAGATCTCTGACACAGATGCCTTTGACACTAAGGACCCATTTCAGAAGTCCAGAAAACTACTGATCTACAGAATTCCAGGTCAAATACAAGGATGCTTCCTGAAAGAAGAGGCAGCTAGATGCTCTGGGTCTGGGAACAGAGACTCACTGTTAGAACAAAGCCAAAAAAGAACATCAAAAGAAGACCATCAACTGCCCCAATTCCCCATTGGCAACCACCCTAGTAATTGACTGGAGGGCGGTAGTTTGGGAAAATTGTATATAAACTAATTTGGATACAAGCACATGGGTGTGTCTGGTGCTCAAGCACATGTGTTGCCAGCCTCCGTGCCTCCTTTGTACATGGTACATGCTGCAGCATCTCTCCTCTTGAGATGATACCTTCGTACTTTTAACATGGGATGTGCACTGGTTCTTTCCATTGTGGAGAAACCTGTGTTCTCTCCTGAGCACATATCTTAATTTACCTCTTCTTATCTCCCTTTATTTCCCAATACACATTATATTTCACTGCTCATCTCCTACTGAAATTCTTTTCTGTGAGGGAAAGCCAACAAAGCCAAAAGGTATGGGTAAGATCACGACTGACTTTCCTTTCTTGCAAAAAAATTTCTTTGTTCCTGTCTGAGTTTATGACTCCCTGAGAAATTGGTTGGCAGGGATCAACTCCCATACTATGTAGGACAAGTAGGCAACAGGTGTAGCTTAATGGCTAAACTCTTGGGCTGGCGGGATGTGAACATCCATACTGTGCAGGGATCATAGCAGACCTTCCTCAGTACTAAATATTCTAGTTCATTCCCTGGGTGACAGAGGTGGGAAGAGGAAAAACAGACTTCCTTCTTGAAGCTGTTACCTCCATCTTCCCATTCACATAAGCCCCTTAGGGAACCTCCACCAGCAACTGATACGAACCCCTGACAAATATAGATGCAGATTCTCAACAAACTATTAGCAAACCATATACAACAATATATAAAATAGGTTATGTATCAAAGGAGGATTCATGTCTGGGGTGAATATACACAAGTCAATTAACATGATACATTATATAAGTAGTGGAAAAATAAAGTTCAAATGATCATATTAACAGATAAAGAGAAAGCATTTGACAAGATCAGTCCCCATTTGTTGTAAAAATTCTCAATAAAAGGTATTGAAGTATCTTTCCTAAACATAGTTTAAGACATTTACCATGAATCCATAGCAAATGTCATGCTAAATGATATGGAAACTGAATGTTAGCATTCCAGTATCAGGAACAAGACAAAGTTTCCCACTTTCACCATTACTATCCAATATATTAAACTATACTTCCTACTTGTGCAGTCCTCATATAGAAATTCTGGAATAAAATAAATATTGTAAAGCTGCCAAACACAGTTCCCATAAATTTGGTGATGTTACAGAAGTAATTCTGGGAAAGTTTTCAGTGCAGTGCTGAAACTGAGTGGACAACATACAAAAAGCAGGATCCAATTTGTAAGAGGCACTGCACACATTTCCAAATCTTTTTCCCTTAGCCTGGATCCTTCTAACACCTGACAAACTGACACTACGAAAAAAGAAGCAGTTCTGTGTTTATGTGCTCTTCAAGTACTTATTAAAAGCTCAGAGCTTACAAGTCACAAGTCAGAAGTAAAATTGACTTCTACAGCTTCTCCCACACCCTCACTCTTGCATCCATAAAGTGTATGTGTGTGTGGGGGGGAGGGGGTAGGCGCTCCCTTACTTTGACAAGGCTAAGTTAATTTGTAGTTCCATCAAACTCTGACTAAGTTTTCTACCCTCATATAAATGTTCTCACACGCATCATCACAAACACCACCACTACCATCTTCCCTCCGGCAGTTCCAATCTCTCCAATGTCCACAATGATAGTCAAAATGATAATCAAGGGACTGGAGCAATAGCACAGTGGGTCGGGCATTTGCCCTGCATGTGGCCAACCTGGGTTCGATTCTCAGCACCCTTATGGTCCCCCAAGCACTGCCAGG